CATTGGGGGAGTCCCTGTTCCCCTGAGCACTACCAGGAGTGACTAGAAATAATGGTCACAAGGTGGCAGAGGGTAGATTCAGACTAGATATCAGGAGGTGCTACTTCACTATCAGAGCGGCTAGGATCTGGAACCAACTTCCAAGAGAAGTGGTGCTGGCTCCTACCCTGGGGGTCTTTAAGAGGAGGCTAGATGTACACCTTGGTGGGGTCGTTTGACCCCAGTAATCTTTCCTGTCATGGCAGGGGGTCAGACTCGATGATCTGCTCAGGTCCCTTCCGACCCTAAAAACTATGAAACTATAATGGAAAAATCACTGTTCAAGGATAGGTAAATCTGGACAGTGGCTGGGTCATTTGGTCCCAAAGGTCTTCAAAGTCTGAAACAAACGTAAAGCTGGAAGACTGATGTCACTGCACCTGTTTCTGCAAAGATCACATAAACAGCACAGGTTGCAGCAAGAAAGTCTGACAGACCTCTAGAAGAGGGCTTGCAGTATAAGGAAGGGAGCTTTGGGGCAGAGTGCTGTCTGTAAAGAGTCTTGGAAATGTGAGCACAGGAAACTTTCCCCTGCTGCTTGATTCCTACTGTGTTCAAGGAAACAGGCCCTTCTGCATTTTCAATGTAAATAAACAGGATTGTATCAGAAAAGTACTGGACTCGGCCATCCAGTTGCTTCTTCTATCAGAAAGAACTTGCAAGACACTGAATAGTGGTTAATTATTTGCAAAGGGTGCAATATGTATGATGTACACGTGCATTGTGTCTAAAGTATAATACAATATATTTTCAACATCTTACTATTTTGGGAGGGGGGAGAGATTATTAGCAATTTTCAGGTTTAAATTTTAAATCAAATAATCTACAAAAAATAACTCTCTGAAGTTTTCTAGTAGAGTGATAATACAGTATTTCCTAATAACTACGAAATTTGTACTTCAGTGATCACAGGGCTTCATTTTGCAGAGATACAGATGTGCACATTTCTCTCTACTCTACAGAGGCTTCTCTATGAAGTTATCATGGAAAGCTGAGTACTAAACACAAGCAATTTGGCATTCTTCCATGTAAATAAACACCGCTTAGTAAGTACAAGGGTCTAATAAATCCACAAAAGCAAGAAACTTCTGAGTTTTAAGATGATCCCTCCAACCACTATTTTCATTCAGAGACTCTGTTTACATCCTGCTAGCTAAACACCACCACAGTGGCTGACATTAGGAAACCAGCAATTGCAAAACAGGCTGAACAGCAAAGTGAAGAAAGACATTTGATAGCAATGTATCTACAAGTCTTTAAGGGGCAGGAAATATATGTTTTTACAACACCACTTTATAAAAGCATTGCTCAAAGTTCTTTGCTGCTTAAGGTGGCCCTACAAGGAATCTTAAGTCATACAACCAGAAAAAGGCATTTCTTTATGCCTCTCCCCACCCCAACCCCGTATGTTCATTCTCAGTCAATATCATTAATGAGCAATGGGATGTATTAAAACAGAAACTAGATCGCACCAGGTCGTCTAGCATGATCCAGATAGTATTGATGTACAAGAATCTAGTTGTCTTAAAGGAGCTCATTTCTTCTACTACCATCATCAGACCTGCTATCCAGGGATCTTGTTCTAATCTTGTATCCCAACCAAGAACCACAACTTGGTTTATGCTATACTGACTACATCTAACCTTCGCAATAGTGCCCCTACTCCATTATGGGGCCTTAATCTGCTACTAACCAGTTATATCAACTTTTGAGCTCTTTGGGCGCATCCAAATGAATATGCACATGCCTCTTGCGGCATCTCAAAGCAGTTTGGGATGCTGCAAGAAGCACGCTTGGAACAAAAAAACGTTCCCCATGCTGCATATTTGCACCACAGGCTCTAAATTTGCTACCTGGCAATCCCGCGGAAAAAAACCAGGGCAAGGCACACTCTTGTAGCGTTCCCTTAAGAAACCGGAGGCTGGGGTTCTCTAAAGAGATGCTTTGGTAGCCAGAGTATCTTTATGACTACCCCTTGCACCGGGTGCTGCAGCACACTGCCTTCCTGTGTGGGGCAAAGAGTGGCTCAGGCCTCAGTAACCTGGACCAGAGCTCCGTCCCAGGTAAGTACGGACTGGGGGTGGACAGGACTGGAGCAGGTGCCTGTGTGGATGCAGGGGACTGTGTGTCTGTGTGGGGGGGGCTGCTCAGGAGGTGTAGGTCCCCTGCCTGCCCCCGCACATGATCCACAGCCCCCCTCAGCAGCAAGTGCCAACAGGGTGCTCAGGGCCCTCCCGGCACAGCTCCCCGCCATGACACAAGGCAGCACAGTGAGGCTTTGGCCGCCTGGCACCCAGCACTGCCTGTGACAACATCGCGCAGACCCAGCCCGGTGCAGGGCCATGTGCCTTTGGGCAGAACTGGGCCACTTTGGCGGTTACCTGGGGGCTGGCACTGCTTGCACAGACTGCATGTCACATCACACTGGGTCAGGTCCTGCTTGCACAGGCCCCGGATGCCATCAGGTTGGGCTGGTTCCATGGAAGCAGAACCCAGACTGGTGCAACACATGGTCCCTGCAAGTGGTGCTGACCTCCGGGTGACAACCCAGGTGGCCCAGTCCTGCCCAAAGGCACATGGCCCCGTGTGATGTGGTGCAGGCAGTGCCAGGTGGCCAGGGCCATGCTGTGCTGCCCCACACCACGGTGGGGAAGAGGTGGGGGCTGTGCCAGGAGGGTCCTGAACGGCCCAGTGGCCGCTGCTGCTGCAGGGGGGCTGTACCCTATGGGGGGCATGTGTGCCCTGTAGGGGGGGCTGTCAGTGAATTGTGTGTGGGGAGGGCTGCACCCATTGGGGCAGCAGGGGACCAACCCCTCCTGAGCAGCTCCCCCACACCCACCGTCTCCCCATACCCACAAATCCCACACCCCCAAACCACCCCCACAAACTCCTCACCCACATACCCAGACAAACTCCAACCCCCTGCACAAGCACCATACCACCCTAAACCTCACCCCAGAAACCCTACACCCACCCCACAAATCTCATATCCTGCATGCTCAGCCAGCCACATGGGATGGGACAGGAACTGCTGGCAGGAGCTGCAGCTGCAGGGACAACTGCCACACTGCATCCCTGCCTCATGCCCACACCAATCCTGGGACATGCAGCCCCAGCTTGAGGGGGCTCCTGGTCCCAGAAGCCACTTGTGGGGTGTGATGGGCTGGGGGGAGAGGTGGAGGTGGCAGTAGGTATGTGTCAGAGAGATATGCGGTCAGGGGTAGGGGAGCTCTCTCTCTGGGTAGGAGAGACTGCCAGAGCCAGGCTTAGAGCCCCCCTGCCCCCTACAGCAGCTTGTGCAGACCAGCCTGGAAGGAAAGGGCCCAGCTCGGTCCCTGTTCCCCAGTTGAGGGCTTCCCAGAAACAGCGTGGGTCAGGGAGCAGAAAAGCAAGGGCTGGCACTGCTCAGAGCCACGAAACAGAGGGTAGGACAGATGCAACTGAACTCATGTCCTGGTGCTGGGACAGAGGTGTGGCTGAGAGACAACTAGTGGGGGCAGGCAGGGGCTGCATGTTGGGAGTGAAAGGACTGGGGGTTGGGGGGGTGGGTTGATTGTGAGGGGCAAGGGTAGGGGCAGGACACTGGCATATCAGTGCTACTCAACGCTGCACATCCTGGTGAGGGAAATGGGTAAGACCAGCTCTGATTTTTCTATGACAAAAAAACCCAAAAAGTAAATACCAAGGTGTATAGATATTTAAAACCCATTTTATTATGATGATAGAGGCACTGGTAGGCTTCCAATTTGCTTTAAATGTAAATATATCAATAAAACGTTGTTCAAGTGATCTCTCTCTATATAGTGGCATTTCATTTTAATAGCAAAAGAACACTACTTTGGGTATTTTAATGAGGAATTTGGGTTTCTTATCAAAGATTTTGCAATGTTTAAACAGGGAACACCAGGATCTCTGCTGGTGAGACAAGTGGCATGACCCAGGAAGAGGAACCTGTCCAGGGCCAGCACTGGGACCCAGCTGGGAGGCAGATGAGGTGGCTGACCTCTTGGCCATTTGGTCCCAAGAGGACACACTTTGACAGTTCAAAGTGGGCCACCGCACGGAGCACATCTTCTTGGTGATAGCTGCCCAGATGGCAGAGTGGGGGCACCCCATCTGGGTCTGGCAGGTGCACAGCCATGGGGCTGCAGGTCTAAGAGAACGGATGCTGTTGCAGGTGGCAGCAGGTCACAGTCAGACAGCAGCCCCCACTGCCAGACTGCTGCAGTGGGTACAGGTTACAGGGGCCACTCCAGGTTAGGGCTGCTTCAGCAGCGCCGCTGGCACAAGGGGTAGTGTCCCCAGATACCAACTGGCTGGGCCTCAGAAGCTCATAAGGGTAAGTAGCCCTGAGCTGCTCGCCAGAGCAGGTTTTTATATTGCTGAGGCCAGCACCCCACAGCCTCTAGCTCCCCCTGGCTGAAGATCTAGGAGGAGCTGGGCAGGGTCAGTTTGCCCCAAGTGGCACAACTTGCCCCATACCAGACACATGCGCTAAGGCAAAAAACTCTGGCACAAATTTGTGCCACTCCTATTTGAGCTGCTGCAAGTGCATGAGCCTGCAGGCATGTCCACGTCCTTTGTGTTTTGTTCTTGCCATTGTTAAAAAGTGATTCAAATGCTCAGAGGATATAATGATTTTGACTACCATTTTTAATTGAAATTATGTATGCAAGAAAAGCAAGAAAGTTGATGGCTTTAACAGCTGATCTTTTCATCCTACCCCATGGTCACCTGTTCTCTTCAAAAGTATATGTCAAAAGTGGAGTCCAAATTCCATCTGAATCATGGTGCTAATCTGGTGGCATTCTTTCTAAAACACATATACTGAAAAACACATCGCTTATCATTAATTCTATCCTCATATACTGAAAAACACATTGCTTATCGTTATTGTCTTATTTGACTAAGGATAAGAGAAGGATTTCAGAGCACAGTCTGCCAGGCTAAAATGGCACTAGAGAGGTGCTGCTGGACCATTTCCCTCATAGAAATCTGCAGAATTGGTACCCAGCATTCCATCACACATTTAACCAGTACTACTTTTATGACTTAATATGGACCTAATCCTCACAATGCTACACTTCTTTAATGAGAACTCATTCTAAGGAAGTTGTATCACTCTCTGAATTTCCACACCATAATGACTGAAACACTTTCATATTCTTGCTTCTGCAGATTTATACTACTTCCCAAACTTCCTCTCTGTTGTTCTGGTCTTATAGGACTGTAAATGAACAGAAGTGAAGTTGCACGGTGCTTTTAATACAACTTTGGTTCCCAATCTGCAAGGATCCCCATTCATGTGCAGGCTTACAAAGTTTCCTAACAGCAGATGCGACACAGGTAAATAGCAGACAATCCTCCAAAGAACCATGGTTCCAACAGCAAACATATTAATTCTCAAAAAGTGGGAAAAAAACAGTTAAAGTGAAATGTATTTATTTAATAAAAATGTGCAACTAAATACGCCCCAAATACTTCTGTCATTCTTTTCCATAAGGCTTTATAGTTGTTTGAGTGTTAATACTTGGAAACGCAGGAGTGGAAAACTAACATTTACCTATTTATTTAAAGGAACACAAATAATGTTCAAAGTTACGTTGTGGTAGTACAAGAATGACCTTGTAGCTGTTGCTGGGGAGCCGTGAACACTCCTCACTCCTTGCTGTGCTGGTTGCGTCACTGTATTTCTTCTTCCAGATATTCTGATTTCACAAGCAGGTCAGTCGGCATCAAAATGATCATCTTGTGAGAGAAACAGATCATGAGGGACAGTTTCAAGGCAGCAGAGATGCATAGTGCAGGGATCACACCCAGTGCTAGTAAGGTGAACTTAGGGCTCCTCTACACCTTACAGGTATTGCTCAATTAACTGGTTAATTGCACAGTTACCTTAAGATCATCTACACATGCAAAGTACCTATCACATCATGCTCCAACCAGCTAGACCTAAAATTGTACTAACTTTTATAGCTGGTTGCTACTGAACTTTAATTTGCACAGGGGTTCATGAAATAAGGACCATGATCCACACTCCTGGGATTTCACACATCCCAAGCCTGGGTGATCACAGCTGCTGTATGATCCCTCAGGTGTGGGTGCATGGGGCCTCTCAACTGAGGTAGCTCCCAGCCTTGCAACCCCACCCCCCCTGCACTGGCAATGGGTGTGGTGGGATCTAATGTGGCACAGTCACTCCTCCTGCCATACACACATGGCATGGCAGGAGGCATGATTGTGTGGATTGCACCTTAGATCCCATCATGCCTTTACCTGTATGTGTAGCAGGGACCTAAGAATGAACAATGGTCACAGGATATGATTCAATTTCCCTGCTCCCTACTGAAATGACCAAGAAATCCTTATTTTAGAGGAATGGGTGCGAATACAGAAAACTGAACCTGAACTGTATAAAAGAGAGAGGTGCGAGTCTGGAACTTGCCTCAAGCCCTGAGGACAAATTCTGAGGGCCCTCAGACCTCACCACCCAGTCGTGCGCATGTCTACTTTCAATATATGTCTATATTTGCTGTATTTAGCTGCTCTTGGTAAAGTTGCCTCATTTATAATATCCCAATAAATCAGTGTATAGTTGCTTCTCTTGTACTTCTCTAGATAAAATAAAAGCTCCTAGTCACCCTGGGTGTAACACAGGGGTGGTCCAGAAATTGTGCAAGGGGCAAGGGTTTTGCTTCAGAAACAAGGACAAGGAGCAATGGTCTCAAGTTGCAGCAAGGGAAATTGAGATATCAGGAAAAAAGTCTCACTAGAAGGGTAGGAAAGCAGTAGAACAGGATACCCAGAGAGCTTAAAAGCACTGCTCCTTAGAGGTTTTAAGACCTGGCTAGCTGGGATGATCTAGGTGGGGCCAGTCCTCCTTTGAGCACGGGTTGCACTAGATGAGCTCCCGCGGGCCCTTCCAACCTTCGTTTTCTGATTCTCAGGGCCTGTCTTTTGCATTGGAGCAGCGGGGAGCTGGGGCAGGGACATTCAAAACCTTGTCTATCTCTACCCCAAATCTCCACCCGGGCCATTAAAAGCCGCCCCCAAGGAAACCCCTGCCCCTTGCCGAGCTGTGGTGCCACAGGCCGTCTCCCCGCGTTTCCCAGCCCAGCGTGCAACCGACGCCTTCCGCTCCTCACCCAGCCCACCCCGCCTTGCCCCGCTGGACGTGATGTCACAGTCAGGAGCAAAGAGCGCACAGCCACCGCCTCTCCCCCCCGTTGCTGGGCAACGCCCTCAGTGTCTGCCCCTGCAGCTATAGCGAAACCCGGGCGGACCGCCCCCCCCGGGTCAGACGAGGATGAGGGGAGGGGCATAAGGGAGGGGAGGGGGCCTGACGTGAGCCCCGGCATCCATCAATGACTGCTGGGAGGTTGAACCCGCCCTTCCCGGCGTGCACTCTGGAGTTGTAGCACCCGCACTACAACTCCCAGCATGCAGTGCTACGTCTCTGCAGTAACCCGAGGGCGGTGCCGACTACAGCTCCCAGCAGGCCACGCGGCAACACGGTCAGCGCCCCGTGCGCATGAGTCAGAGCTGACGCCTGCGCTCGGCCATTGGTCCTGTTCCGGCCCTGCCCCCCCCATCCAGCCGGCTATAAAAGCTGCGTCGGCGCCACCTCTGCGCTTTTAGCTCCAGGTGCCTGATAGGAGAAAGATGCATCGATTCTGCTCGCGGGCTTCCACGGGGATTTCTGCCGCCTCCGTCTCGTTCATCACCTGCCGCCGCCAATCCCCACCGTTGCCTCGGCCCGCGAAGCCAGCCGCGCACAGACGTTGTAGTAAAAAGCGATCCTGCTCCTCCATCGGCTGATTGTCGCTGCGGCCCGCGCGAGGAGCGGAGCGGAGCGGAGCGTCGACACCCGGAGCGGGGCCAGGGGAGCCGAACTGAGCTGGGCGCTGCTGGCCATGCCCAAGTCCAAGAAGCGCGGGGGCAACTCCGGGCGCGGAGCCGGTAAGAGCCGCGGGGGAAGGGGACTTTTCCCGTGATGCTTCACGCAAGGTGGGGGGGGGGG